TATATATACATATATTAAAAAAAGAAGAGAAAAGACATAATGTGACATGAACTTGTCCCGAATTTTCAAAAAGACACCCTAACTATGCATGTCACACCCCGAGGTTACCCCTTGACGTAGCACGGGACCTAGGATCACGAGTGACCCCAAGCTAACCCTGAGTTGAATCTGACATATCATGAACATACTGAATATAACTAAGCAAACATGAACTAAGCGGAAACTAAATCAATAGATATCTAAAGAGGAACAAGCCCAACTAGTCTGAATAATAATATATAAAAAAGTTTAGTGATAACTAAAACAACCACCTAACAAATCAAGTTGAATCTACTACTATGTCTGAAAAGTCTCTAACTGAGTTGAGTTGCTGGGAAATGCCCCCAGCTAACTCTAACCAAACTAAAAATTGAAAGTAAGGATTAAAATGAAAGAATGTCTATTGTCCTCGAAACATGAGGACTTACCACTAAAGCTGTTGAATGTGAATCAAGAATCGATCTATGTGTGATCTGGATGCTGAGTACCTGAACCTACATCATGAAAGGATGTAGCACAAAGTATGCGTCAGTACTTGGAATGTACTGAGCATGTATGCTATATATATTAAGCTGAATAAATATATATGAGTTGAACAAAGCATAACTGAGCAATGGCATAACTGAGCAGGAATATAAATATTGAAACATAACTGAAAAGCTAATCTGAATGCAATGACGAAGTACTAATCATGAAAATAACATGCTGAATTGAATGCTAAAGTATATACTGAAAACCTGGTCAAATGCATTAAGAGTTTGTAGGAGCTACTATTAACCGACATAAATCACGTGAGTTAAACGTGTAGTCCGATGTATACGCCCCATCGAGAGGACCCAATATACCTTGCCATGGGTATAAAGGCATACTGGTGTGATCACTAAATCTGATGCCCAACAGAGGGGACTTATAATCCTATGCTGGCACATAGTTCTGGGACTATGAGGGTACGCTGAACCCTAGTCCAACTCGGTGCTAAGTCTACTCCCAACTGAATATGTATATGACTAAAATGAAATTGAAATACTAAATAGATCAAAATACTGACATGCTAACTGAGAATGCAACGTTTATATACTGATAATATGACATTCGAAATCTGAAGCATGATTATTTATTTAACTGACCTAGCAAGTGTAATTCATGAACTAAGATAATCTACACAAACTAGGTTTCTGAGTTTTTATTCAAGGAATTAAGCAAACTTTCGAGGAAACATGCTATTTCAAGTAAGGATACTACAACAACTAATTCACAACAAATCTCCAAAGTTTTAGAAACCCTAGGTTCTAAACAAGATATGGAGAATCAAGGAACTGACTGAATTCTAGGGACCTAGTAGATAAAAGGAACCCACTAGTGAAATCCCACATACCTGGTGACTAAATTCACGGAGAAATCCTTTGGGTTTTGGGGCTGAAACTTGAAGAACACCTCTGCTTAATTGTTCTTGGGTAAACTGGCGCCTCTTTCTTCTTTTTTTCTCTCTAAGTTTTGGTGAATGAGGGTTCTGGGTAATGTCTGACTAGAATATTAGGTTAATACTGAGTAAAACGACGTAGTTTAAATGTCCAACGCTTAGGGGAAGAGAACAAAACAACCATAACTTAAAAGCTTACAAAGTATATCCACGAGGCTTATGATGGGCCGTCGATGGGACCACATCCTGTCAAGTGGGTCGTGGTTCTCGGCCAGTGCTACTGGTTCTTGGTACCTATCTACGATCCACTTCACGGACCGTGTGAAAGACATCGTGGTTCTTCACTTGGGGATGGTGTCTGATGTATCAAGACGACGTACCCATCCACGGCCCGTGGAGGACTCCGTGGTTCCACACTTGAGCCCTGGTGGCTCTACCTCAGTTATACGAGCCATTCCATGGCTCGTGTGGGGATCCACGACCCATGAAGGGCTCCGTGGTCCACCACGTTGGCTGGGTGTGAGCCACGAGCAGGTCGATAGACCGTGGTCTCTTTCACGATCCGTGAACCCCTCTGTTAGGTTTCTGAGGCATTACAATGCGGGCGTCCTATTACCCCACTAAACAATCTTGAACTGACATTATTACATCATTTTTTGTCCACCTTACATAGAGAGTGTGTGCATTCTCAAAAAGAGAGTGATCAGCCTAAAGTAACTAATATAATTTCATATTTACAAGTATTTCATTATAAAATATATTTTCTTATTATTTTAACTTTTTTCCCTTATTATTTTTTCTCTTTCTTTCTTCTTTGTTCTTCGAAAATTCATTGTCATCTCCATTGAAGCTTCTCACTTTCAATGTCACCATTTTTACCACAACTTCATATTCCTTTTTTACTACTATTAGTTTTACTCTCTTTAATTTTAGAACTTTATCTAAATATTTTCTTACATTTCGAACAATTTGATAAACTCATTAGATTTAAAGACGATTAGAAGGTATCATATAGTTTTTTATATCCGATTTCAATCAAGTTCTTTCAGTTTTCGGGGAATTCATTGATTCTTTTAATATTAGCATTTCTAATTTTGAAGTTATATGAAAAGAGTAATTGATGATACCTTCAATTTTTGTTAATTTTCTTAGAAAAATAATTAGTTTGGTTATCAATAGTTCAATAAAGTCTAGAAAATAGTATGATTTTTTTTTTACAAAAAAATCACTAAAATAAAGAATTTGATTGGAGAAGAAGAAGAAAAGGAAAAAAAAAAGGAGAGAGGTTCAACTTGATGTGGGAGGTGGGGTGAAGGTGGGAGGTGAAGAAAAAGAAAGAAAATGGAGGGATGGATCAGATTGAAAGTGGGGGTGGAGGATGAAGTGGAATTTAAGATAAAATAAAAATTAAAATAAGTCAAAAATTAAGAGAGAGAGATAAAGAAAAAAAAGATAAATAAAAAACTTAAAATGCAAAAAAAAGTTATATTTTTAATTAAATTAACACGTGTCATGTAATGATTGGCGTGAGAACACACTTGCTTCTTTAAATTTAGGGTTGATAAAAAAATGATATAATAATATCAATTCATAATTGTTTAGTGGGGTAATAGGACGGTTGCAAAGTTAAGGTGTCTTTTTGAAAATTTGAGACAACTTCAGTAGTGACTTTATGTCTTTTCTCTATAAAAAAGTTAAATAAAATAAGATCTCCTATTTCAAAGTTTTATTGGAACTCTAACAATCAAAGATGGTAAAAAGTGATAGTAAATCAAACCAGAAAGTGAAGAAATTCTAGGAGACATATCATGATGAATACAAAGATAATCGGAGATTGATGACATTTCAGAATTAGGTAACTATCTGGTAAGCGGTTATGAAGCGATAGAAGTTTTTTTCTTTTTGAGAATTCAAGAAATCCTAGCCAATCCCATTTTGTTGAAGAAAATTAGCTTGACGTTGAAGCTAGGCGATGAAAATAAGAAGAACTTTATAGTTATATACATGTTGTGTTAGTCAAACTTTATAGATTAATGCAATCTCATAGGTGAGGTTTTGGAAGAGCAATGATGGGATATTTACAATGTAGATAATACTTATTAATAAAACTAGTTTTTGGACACGCACTTTGCACGTGTATTCCATGTGATGTTTTTTTATAAATTTGTTAGAACGATAAATATTATATAATAATATACATGCAATGAATAATAAAATACAATAGTTATAAATAATATTTTTAAAATATGAAAAAAATACCAAATGAGAAGTGTATTTTAGTATTTAAAATTAATTTCTCTTACACAACCAACTATAAATTTTCTATTTTGGTTAGTAGTCAACAAACTTTCAATAAAGTCACAAATGACTAATTTGAGCCCAAATAAAAATATAAATTAAAGAAGTCTAATTGGGAGAAAAAATAGAAAATAAAAAATACAACGTACACATTCTTCCTAGGACCGTAATCATAACAATATTGATAAAAAAATATATATAGAATCAGTACAAAAAAATTCAAGTTCTCCATATAGCCTAGCTTCTTCATCGAGTAAAACTAAAGCATGATCTCAGTTTTCAAAATTTTATTGAAATTCTTACATGTAAAAAGAAACACAAATAATTTATAACAAACAAAAAAAAAATACTAAAACAAAGAAGATGAGTGAGGAAAATGTTTGAGACATATCATGATGTAAATAGAAACAATTTAGGATTGATGAAGAATCTAGTAAACGGGATGGAGCTACAGAAGCTTTTTAATTTTTTTTTAAGACATCCTATTCAATATATTTCCTACGTCTGTTAGATTTTCTTTCAAATATCTTGACTAATAGAATTGTGAAATTAGATTAGGCTGAGAAAGGGTCTAAGAGAGAAGCTTAGGATATTACTTAAGTAAAGGGGTAGCGTTACAGTCGTGGTCGAAGTAAGGGGTAGCGTTACAGTCGAGGTCGAACTAAGGGGTAGCGTTAATTAAGTACTATTATGTTGTTGTTGTCGTCTTACCCTCTCCAAATTCCACTTTATTGTGAGATCACCATTAAGTATTACTATGTTGTTGTTATTGTCGTTGTCTTGTGACTTTGATTTAGTCAGCAAAATCTAGGGAAGGTTTTCTCTTGGATTTGAACTTTATGCGGTCATTTTTTATGACTATGTATTATTGCTACTATTTGAGAACACGTAGAAAAACTTTTGAAATCCTGATCAAACATAAATGGTTGCTCTAGTATTGACAAAAGCACTTTTCAAATTAAGTAGCCAAATAACACAATTCTTAATTAATGAACAGTTAATTATAATAAGAATAACATACTGTGAAATGTGAATGTACTACCAAAACTACCTTGTATAGCTAAACAAATGACATATTACACATGGTAACATTTCACATAACATCATTGATGAAAAAAAAACTGTTTACATTTGTTGAAAATCGAGAAATCCTCGAGATCCAGCAATACTAAGATCCGAAACATAGTGAATAATAAGAAACGTTTGTCCATCGCAAAGTTTAATTTCAGTGAGGCAGGGGCAGTTATGTGGATGTGAAAACCAATAGCTCCCCATATGGCATTAATGCTCGTAGATCATATACTCCACCAATCATATCTTCAACCAAATGATCAAATATCTCCCTATGCCTGTATGGAGAAAATTAAAATGACAAACAAAGCAAATTTGAGTAAAAGTACTACAGGTAAATGATGAACATATACAGTATTTACCTTGCCTCCGAGGAGAAGAAAAACAATTCAATGTCATAAGCATTAGCCTCTAATGTGTTGAAATATTCAGGCCATAAATCAGCTTTTGAAACCATTTCAAAGTGAAGATAAAGTAAAAGTAGCTTTGCTTTTTCAGAAACACTTTGGCATTCTTTGTCGGAGAGGTGAGCAACAACTCTGTCAAGCTCATACTTTTCATTCAATACGTTAAAACAACCTCTGCAAGAAATGTGCAAGAAAACAGACATTTTCATTCACAGGTCCATAAATTATCACGCAATCGAATAATCTGTGAGACACCTCCTCACCTACAAATAGGATCATCAACAGGTTGTATGTCATGACTATGCTCTACTAGATCCGTTCCAGGTGGGAAAAGATCAGAATTCCTGATTGGGAATTTATTGTCATTGCAGTGGCTGAAGAGATTTAAAACACAGAAAATATCAGTTCAACGACACAAGTTTTGAGTAATCATGTCCACAATCAGTATACCAAACTAGAACAACAAACAAGAGAGTCAAAATTAGCATATATAATCGGACTTAGAAAGCTACAAACGATCTATTGATAACCTAGAAACCCACGGCATGACAAGCCATTTATCGTTCCAATTTTATAATATGCCTTGAAAGAAACAACAAAGTCCATAGAAATATCCAACTAAGGTCCATTCAGAATTAATCAAAGGTGTTATAAACCTTGAGGCAACATTAGTTTGCTTGTGTTCTGGACATTGACTATGCATCCTTTCTACATTCCATCTCATGTTTGGCCAATAATTTTTTCCGTCAAAATGTCTTAGTGTCTTATGAACCCCAAAGTGTTCCATCATTCCACTATTATGGGCTTATAGAAAATGATGCACTTTCATGGAACGTTAGACTAACGAGCACTATAGTTTTTGTGAGACTCAATATCACTAGCAAATAAATCCTTTACTTTTTCAAAACCTTACTTCCAACTTAGCACTCAACATATCAACCCTCTCTTAAGTATTTCAAACTTGCCAAAAAAAATACTCTCAAAGACATGATTCTTAAACATGTGAAGGGATGGACATTTGTTACAACAAATAAGCAATCAAAAATGATTTATATAAGCCATACTTTGTTTTAATGTAGACTTTCATTCAACATCCGGATTCATTTGGATTTGGTGATAAGCGGAAATAGAAACGAAGGCCATAATTATTTAACCGAAAAGAAGAATATTTATTCTTCATCAAGAATAAGATTCTCAAAATATTCTCCATCATAATCCTCACATTTCATTAATTAGGGATTGTCTTGTACATGCTTCTTTTTAATTTTTGCTCATAAAAGTTTGAACTTCCCCTCCAACCCATAAAAGTTTTCACCACTCCACTTACCTCAACAACATTACCCCAAGTAATATCATATTCTCCATAAAAATACATGTTTATATCTATGATTTTTAGAGACTCTAATTAGCCATTCATTGGACTCATTACTTCCATCAAAAGAATTTGGATCAATTAATTTTCGAGAATTGTAAGACATCTCAAATGTCTCGTATTCAATGAACACTAGATCATTGAGACACTTTAGTTCGAGCCTTTACTATTTATGGTGTGAATTTACAAATAAGTTGTCATGAGTAAGTTGACATCTTTCTCAATTGTTCTTTTGCTTGTGAACCTTTTGCAAAGTAAAAAAAAATTGTTTTTTAAATTTAAGAATCATAATTTCATAAATGAAAATCAACACCAGGTTGAATGGTGGGAGCAATATGGTTCTTCCATTCTACACTTACAAAAGTTTTCTATCAAAGTTCTAAGTCTAACTTGTTGCTCGTCTGAATGTGAGAGGAATTGGAGTGTGTTTGAACATGTAAGAAGACAAATTTAGTATATTACTAACCAAATTATATCTTAATCATCCTAACTAATACTTCCTATGTTTCAATTTGATTGTGTTGGTATGACCAGACACAGAGTTTAAGAAAGTTAAGAAGATGTTTGAATTTTGTAGTCTTACATTTAAATTATGTATTATGAACAAAATTGTCCTTTAATTAATCTTGTAATTTTGAACATGCCAAGCAAGAATTTGAAATTAAAGAGTTGCATAATTACGAAAGAGATATTCTTTACGTAATAAACTAAAACAGAAAATAAGACAAATAAATTTAAATAGAGGGAGAATTAATTACCTGCTTCAACTTATTTGCCATTCATACAGAAACTTTTAAAAATAATTCAAGAGTTCCTATTTGATCACTTTTTTATTGATATTTCCTACGTCTGTTAGATTTTCTTTAAATAATCTTGACTAATAGAATAGTGAAATTAGATTAGGCTAGAAAAGGGATAAGAGAGAAGCTTAAGATATTACTTTAGTAAAGGGGTAAGTTACAGTCGAGGTCGAAGTAAGGGGTAGCGTTACAGTCGAGGTCGAAGTAAAGGGTAGCGTTAATTAAGTACTATTATGTTGTTGTCGTCGTCTAAACGTCTCCAAATTTCACTTTATTTTGTGATCACCATTAAGTATTACTATGTTGTTGTTGTTGTCGTCGTCTTGTGACTTTGATTTACTCAGCAAAATCTAGGGAAGCTTTTCGCTTGGATTTGAACTTTATGCAGTCGTTTGTTATGACTATTTGTTATTGCTACTATTTGAGAACATGTAGAAACACTTTTGAAATCTTGATCAAACATAAATGGTTGGTCTAGTATGGACAAAAGCACTTTTCAAATTAAGTAACCAATTAACACATTTCTTAATTAATCAACAATTAATTGTGATGAGTCATTTACAATAATAAGAATACCATACTGTGAAATGTGAATGTACCACAAAAACGACCTTGTATAGCTAAACAGATGATATATTACATATGGTAACATTTCACATAACATCATTGATGAAAGAAAAACTATTTACATTTGTTGAAAATCAAGAAATCCTCAAAAGCCAGCAATACTAAGATCCGAAACATAGTGAATAATACGAAACTTTTGTTTTGTCCATCGCAAAGTTTAATTTCAGTCAAATGGTGGATAAAGAAGCTCATATTGATTCCCTAGTCCTTTTGGCTAACTCTAATACCACCCAACTTTAATCCCAACTACAAACATATATAGTCATCCAACTTAGCAATTATTTTTCTGATCCTCTTGCCTCTTCCCAACTCATCCGTCATAACTTGTGCATAGTCCTCAGTAGGGGCCCTATCGTTCACAGCATCTCTAGCAGCCAAAACATTGTCAAGAGTTTGAATCCTGTTTGGTAGTAGTAGACGGCTACTAGAACCTTGTGTCGCTCTGAAAATGCCCCATAAGTAGCATTTCCGTTGGTATCCTGCCAACAAGTTTCTCAAATAAGTTATCAATGAACATGAAATAACATCTAATGAAAACACGAAATAAGTAAAAACTTACTCCAGTGGCACAGGGCAGTTCTGTGGATGTGAAAACCAATAGCTCCCCATATGGTGTTAATGCTCGGAGAGCATGTTCTCCACCAATCATTTCTTGAACCATACTATCAAATTTATCTTGGTGTTTGTACAGGGAAAATAAAAATGAAAACAAAGCGAATTTGATGAATAGCACTAAGCATAAAATGTAGAACATATAAAGTAGTTACCTTGCCTCCGAGGGGAAGAAAAACAATTCAATGTCATCGACAATAGCCTCTGGTGTTTTGAAATACTTAGTCGATAAATCGTGTTTTGAAACCATTTCAAAGTGAAGATGAAGTTGAAGTATCTTTGCTTATTCAGATACACTTTGACTTGCTTTGTCGTTGAGGTGAGCAACAACTCTGTCAAGCGTATACTTGTTGTTCCAAATGTTATAACAACCCCTGCCAGAAAATGTGCAACAAAACGAATATTTTTTTTCACAATGTATACAACAATAAATTCCGAATAATCTCTGAGATATTTGCTCCCCTCTAAATAGGATCTTCAACAGGTTTTGCAGCATGACTATGCTCTACTAAACCTGTTACATGTGGCACAACATCAGAATTCATTGTTCTAGTGATTTCATTCTCCTTGCATTCGTCGCATACCCAAGGGACATATTCAGTGAAGGTGACTTTGTCAAGTAAATAGCTTAATAGATTTAAAACACACAAGATAATTAAACCATGTAAGGTTAACCTAAATTACAAAAAGAAGGTGAAAGAAGTCGACTCATGACAAATCAATTGATTATTAAGATAGAAAAAAACTAGAGAAAAGAAGAAGATAGAAATTGAAATAGAGATTCTACTACCAAATTAGTTCCATCAGAGTCAAATCAAGCATAATCGGACTTAAAAAGTTACAAACAATCTACTAATAGCCTTGAAAGCAACCACATGAAAAACCATTCATCATTCCAATTTGATCATATGCCTTGAAATAAACAACAAAGTCCATAGAAATATCCAAAGTGCTCAACCATTCCACCATCATGGGCCTATAGCAAACAACTCTTTCATGGAACGTTAGACTAAAGAGCACTATAGTTTTTCCTAGACTCAATATCACTAGCATATAAATCCTTTATACCTTCCAACTTTGCACTCAAAATGTTGATCAAGGAATATTTCCTAAAATGCATATGGATAACCACATTATTGTTTCCTTGTATGAAATTCTACCCAGTAGCATGCCTTTGATTCAACCTACCTAGAGTTTCATGTCATTATTTATCTTGCATGAGAACGACTCAAATAGCCTTCCCTGATGCATGAAACTCAACCTCAAAGGTCTGGTAATAATTTGCAAGTTGCAATAAATGAGGCGAACTAATTATGCTTCTATTTCAATTTCTTATAAGACTTATCTTACTTTACCCTCCACAAAACCATTATCCTTTTTAATCATATCGGATTAAGGGGCAGATGCTATACTCTATCCTCTTCAAAACCTCCTATAAAAGCTTCCTAACCCATTGAAGCTCCAAACCTCTTAACACTCTTAAGAGTTGGTAAATCCCTTATAGCCTTTACTTTGGTCTCATCAACTTCTATTCCCTTCCCTCTTACTACAAACCCCCACGAAGACAATCCTAAAAATCACATTTACTAAAGTTTGCATAAAATTTCCCTCTCTTAAGTATTTCAAACTTTTAAAAGAAACTCTCTATACAAAATTCTTAAACATATGAAGGAACATTTTTTACAACAAATAAGCAATCACACATCATTTATATAAGCCATACTTTATTTTAAAGGTGTCCTTTCATTTGGATTTGGTGATAAGCAGAAAAAGAAACAAAGTTCATATTTCTTTAAGCGAGAAGAGCAACACTCACTTTATTGAATTATATCCATTCTCCTACCTCATAGAGGTAGAGAGGCTATTTTCAGAGGACCCTCAACTCAAGTATATCAAATCAAAGTAGGTATGAAAAGGAAACAATAACAACAACAATCTAAGCATAACGATATACAACAATAACAATAGTAACAATCTAAGCATACCGATGTACAACAACTTCAAGACAACTAATACAGTGAATAAAGGCATTTGAGAATCCTTTGTCACCGCAGTTTAGACATATTTTTGACGTCTGCACAACATGGAAAAATAATTATTAAAACTACATTCATATGCATAGCAATATAGAAATAATGCAAAAATGCATGTACTCTATCTAACGAAAGTTAAAGCAAAAAATTAAAGCATATGACATAGTCTCCATTCTCAGATTTTAGGGGATGTAATGAATCAAATCAAATTTGAGTTGTGCTATCAATGTAGACTGAATAGGATACACATTTGCTCTCTCTATGATTGTGTTGGTGGAGATAGCTAGAGTAGTAAAAAGAGTTACTAAAAAGTTTGGAATTAGTATCAGTCCTGGATGTCACTATTGCACTTCTGATGACTCTAACAAAAATATTGAAAATGTTGATCACCTTTTTTGTTTAGTTTTACAAGCTAAAATAATCTGGATTTTTTTGCAGGGCCGCTGGGAATTGGACATATGCATAACACTCTTAAGATGATATTACTCAGTTGGTGTAATTAGAAGATTAATAACAGCATTGCAGCTTTCATATCTAAAGCTCTACCCCCAATCATTTGTTGGGAACTCTGGAGAACTAGGTGTAGCAATAAATTTGAGGCTGTAAAGCCTTCTTTTTTCAGAATCAAAACTAATATCACTTAAAATCTATTGCAGGTTACAAAGAAGAACTTTAGTCAAACAAAGATAGGGAAAAAGTGGAATAGCCTCAAACAAATCTTTGAAGAGGAAATCAATCAAAGAACTTCCATAAGAGTAAAATGGCTCAAACCACCTAGATATTTTAGTAGCTCAACAGTGATAAAAGTTGCCTTCAGGAAGCTGTGGTGGAGGAGGGCTAATCAGAGACAACCAAGGCAACATGATGTTTGCTTACTCTTTAGGTCTAGGCCAAGGTACTAGCAACATGGCTAAAGCCCGTGCACTGCTCTATGGTCTTAAATGGTGTGTTAGTAGAGGTTACAATAGGATTTGGGGAGAAACAGATTCCCTACTCTTATTTAAATGCATTAACGGAGAATGAAGAACACCTTGGAGATTGGACAAATTGATTCAAGAAGCTCAAGAAATAGTTGAATCTCATGGATTTATCATCAATCATTGCTTCAGGGAAGCCAACAAACCTGTTGATATATTAGCATCCAAGAGTTATAGTGTTGATGTAATACATGATTCAACCCTTTCTCTGATCTCCCGAGGGATGTTAGGGGGATTAATTAACACATAGAGATGGGAGCTCCCTTCCTTCAAAATGCAGCAGGTTAATCCTTCTAATTTTATTTACGAACCCCCATCAATCCTCTTTGTCATCCTCTTTGTCAGTGAGTCAAGTTAGTAGAGTAATAGCTAGCTTCGACTCCTCTTTTTGTGATAACTTAATAGAGTTTATCTAACTCTATCTCTACCCCAAGATCTTGTATTAAGTTTGGTATGCCAAACTTCAAAATGTAACTCTTTCATATCAATGATCATTGGAGGCAGTTAAAAAAAAATCCTCTTCATCAAAAAACTTATACTATATATTGTAGCTAGAGTACCACATATTCTCAAAGTTTTGTTATTTTCTTAAAGCACGATTGATATAATTATAATTAAAAATTATAGACAATTAAATTTGCAATTATGTTTCACTTCTAAATTTGTCTAATTCAATTCAATTTGAATCAATCATGTTTTAAAATTAGCTTTGTAAAATTGTCTTCAATTTTTTGGGGTGTCTTCTTAGACATTTCAAGTACAAACTAAATAAATAATTAAATTTCGAAACACATGGTCTTAACTTTAAACCTTTTTTTTAAGTGTAAAACTCACTACAATATTGATGATTTGAACCTACTTTTTTAATTAAAAGTAATACAAAATATTATACAAGTAAAAATGATACTCTAATTGGTATACTCAATCAAATGATGTTTAATTCTATTTTTAAATATTTATACTACTAGAATAATTCTGATGATTCGTGCAGCAATTGACTCAATTGAAAAAGTTTTCCAAACTATAATCCGTACGAATTCACTTAAGATATAAGCGTTTGTGGTGTTATGTAAGGCACAATAATTTATATATGTCAATTCGTGTCTTACGAATTATTACAGAAAATATTATATCGCTAATTGAAAAAAATTAAATATCAAATTATAATTAACTATCATGTATTTTAATAATTAATGAAAATAAAATATATAAGAAAAAAATTAAATAAAGTAAGATCTCCCTTTTCAAAATTTTATTGAAACTCTTACTCGGTAAAGAAATCACAACAAATTTATAACAATCAAAAAGTGTAAAAAAATATTCTAAATCAAACCAGAAAAATGAGAAAATTTGATGAGACATACCATGGGGAGGAATCAAAACCAATTGGAGATTGATGAAAATTTCAATACTAGATTAGAATCCGGTAAGCTAGTATGGAGTGATATAAGGTTTTTTTTTTTGAGAATTCAAGTAATTCTAGCTTAACGTTGAAGCTAGGCGATGATAATTACGGAAACTTTATAGTTTATATAAATATATATATATATGATGTGTTAGTCAAACTTATTTTTTTAAGCTAGTAGCCATAAATGTTTTTCACTTGAAAGAAAATATCCACTTCATCTGGCTATTCACCATTAAGGTTGATATCTTGAAAAATCTAATTTTTTTTTGGAAAAAAGATAATTTTACTTTTAAAAAATAAAAACTTTATTGACAATCAAAATCAAAAGGCTATATTTATTAAAAACTTTATTCCATTTTTATATTTTACCAAAACAGTCAATACGAAGTCTTGTAAGAAATTAATAACTCATAATTGCAAGTTTATCTAATTTATTCATTTATTTTCACTTAAAAAAAAATATCCACTACATCTAGCTATCCAGCATTAAGGCTGATATTTTGAAGCAATTCAATGACTTTTTAATTGACAACCGAAATCAAAGAGCTATAATTATTTAAAGTATTATTCGACTTTTATATTTTACCAATATCTCAAAATTAAGGAATATATTTAAACTTTATGGACGCAAGTTCATATACTATTTAAGACATATTTTTGTAATTAAAAGTAATACAAAATATTACACAAGTGAAAAATGATGAAGTTTTGGTTATATTTTTAAATATTTCTAGAACTAGAATAATTTTGATAGTTTGTGCAACAATTAACCCAATTAATAAAGTTTTCAAAAATAAAATCCATAAGACAAGTGAGAAAATTCTAAAATACA